GCAAAACCAGTAGATAATAGTTTTTTAGAAGGAACATAATGGATTTTACCTAATTTACAAATAGCAAAAAATAAACAACCTGATAAAGCACAAATTTTTGAAAATCATATAGGTGAAGCAGTAGTAAGATTTACTAATTATAAACAAATAAATGATATAGAAGACTTAGAAAGTGAATTAGATGAAGAAATACATATGGCGTTTGATAACTTAGAAATAAATATGATAGAACATAATTTTGATAATATAGTTGATAAACTCATAGATGACATAGATAATTTAGATGAAGAAGAATATATAGCAAAATATAAAACTTATGAGTTAGGATTACATAGATTATCAGATAAAGAAATGAAAGATTTAATTTTAAATATAGGATTAGAACATATTTTAGGAGAAAAAGAATATCAAAATATGTTAATTGAAGTAGAATGCATGCCAGTAGAAGACCAATATAGTTCATCTGGACCATCTGTAACCCCTGCAAGTAGAACAGATCAGCAAAATCTTAGGCAAACTAATGAACCATATAGAGAAAATAATGAAGAAACAGGTAGAAATGCTTTTCAACAAGAAGCATTTGGAATAAGAAAAAATAGAATCCCTTATAAAGGAATTGAACAAATTAGTTTAGCAGGAAATATATTAAATTTAGATCATGTAGACCCACAGGATTGGGAAAAAACTATAGAAAGATGGGAAAAAGGATGTGTACATGCAGCATTAATGTTAGATTTTAGTAATAATAAAGATATGTTAGATTACTTTGAGCATACTTTAGATGGAATGGTTTTTGATTATTTTCAAGCATGGAAAACTAAAAATCCAATAGAACATCAAGCAGCAAAAGAAATGTTTAATATAGATGCTTTTGTTAAATTAATTAAATATGAATTTTAGACCATAATAGATTAGATGGTAGAAATGAACAAGAACAAATTAGAGCCATAAGAAACTTAGAACAATTACAAATTTGTGATTTACAATATATTAGTGAATATACTTCAGACTTTTTCAAGTATTTAGGTAGAACAGGTAGAATTGATGACCTTAATCTGTTAGATACTTATATGACAAAAATTAAAGGACCAATAGGAGAAAGAATTTGGAATGAATGGCAAAAACACCCTAGGAAATTAGATGTATCCATAGGAGCAAGAATACAACATGTATATGATATATTACGATCAGAATGTAGTCAGATAAAAGCAAAAAGACAAATTAGAAAACAGTTTTACATGAGTTGTAAAAACATAGATTTACCAAACAATATGGATGTCATAGGAAATTTAGGCAGAAGAAACCATATAGAAAAAGCTATAGAAAATACAAACCTTATAAACAACAAAATAAAAATTTTAGAATACAACCTTCCAAAACTTTTAGAAGAAGAAAATATATCCCTAAGCAATTTAGGAAAAGAACAAATAAACCATGGATTAGAAAGTATAAAGTACCTAATAAAAGTACATGTAAATGTTATCTTTGTGGTGAAGTAGGACATATTAGACCTAAGTGTCCCAAATTAGGAAAACAACCTAGAGAAAAATTACAATTAATTGAACAATTTCAATTAGAAGATGATGAGGACTTAGAATCAATCTATAGTATAGATGACAATTTAAGTGATAATGAAAGTATTTATAGTGTTAATGCCTTAGACTCAGAATCAGAATTAGATTACTCTAGTAATTCCGATAGTGAATTAGATGAACATATGTGTATGTTTGAAGAACAAACAGAGCATGAAGAATTTAAATATGTTAATTTAGGATGGCCTCAAGAATGTAATCAATGTAAGAAAGTAGTGATAGAAAAATATTACACTAAGACAATAGTTTATTGTAAACCTTGTTTTAATAATAGACCAATATAAATAAATACAGTTGAAATAGATAATCAAAAGAATAATTGCCCTAGTATAGAGAAACAAAAGACTAGTTCATTAATAACAATTAATTGTGAGTTAGAATTGTCAAAAGAAAACAAAATTCAAACAACAGCCATGATAGATACAGGAAGCACAAAAAATGTAATAAAAGAAGAGTTAGTGCCAGAACAATATAGGCAAAAATTAGCTAGACCAATAAGAATTATACAATTTGATACAAGACCTGTATACTTAACACATTTTATTAATAATATACCAATTAGGATAGAAAGACAACAATTTAATTTACCCTTAACCTTTATATCCCCAGTAGGATCATATCCCTTTATCTTAGGATTAAATTTCTTAGGATTAAATTTCTTAAAAAGTTTACAAGGAGGATTTTTATATACACCTCCAGACATTACATTTTTAAGAAAGGTATAACCACAACTGATCAAAGTAATATATTAGAATCTTACAATAGTATTAACATAGAAGAACAAAATTTTAAATATAACATGGAAGAATTAGAAGAAATAGATGAACAAAATAATCTAGAATATGATGACATAATATTTGATCATGAGTATCCACTTATAGGAAACGTAGAACCTTTAGAAATCATGCAAATAGATAGACCAAAAAATTTAGAAGAATTGTTACAATTAGCTGAACAAACTAGAATTATAGGAGAAGATCCCCAATTACATTGGAATAAGAATAAGATATTAGCAAAATTAGACATTATCAATCCAGACTTAACAATTAAAACAGCAGATATGCCTTGTAACTTGTTAGATAAGCAAGAATTTGAACAACAAATAAAAGAACTTTTAAACTTAAAAGTAATTAGACCTTCAAAATCTAGACATAGATCAGCAGCCTTTGTAGTTAGAAAACATTCAGAACTTAAGAGAGGTAAAGCTAGAATAGTGTATAATTATAGGAGATTAAATGATAATACTTATGAAGATAGTTATAAATTACCAAATAAAGATGAGCTTATGAATAAAATTCAAGAAAGTAAATATTTTAGTAAGTTTGATTGTAAATCAGGATTTTGGCAAATTAGATTAGCAGAAGAATCAATCCATTGGACAGCATTTACCTGTCCAGAAGGACATTTTGAATGGCTTGTAATGCCATTTGGATTAAAAAATGCGCCATCAATCTTTCAAAGAAAGATGGATCAAATATTTAAGAAGTATGATAAATTTTGTAGTGTATATGTAGATGATATATTAGTTCATAGTAAAAATAAAATGAACATAGAAAACACTTAGAAATTATTTTGAAGGAATTTATTAATAATGGTATTATTATAAGTAGAAATAAAGTAGAACTTGAAAAACAAGATATAGAATTTTTAGGTATGTATATTAAGTCAGGAACCATACAATTACAAGAACATATAGCTAAAAAAGTGTTAGAATTTCCAGATAAGTTAGAGGATAAAAAGCAATTACAAGCATTCTTAGGTTTATTAAATTATGCTAGAAGTTTTATCCCTAATTAAGGAAGGAAAATTGCAGCTTTACATAGCAAAACTAGTAAAACAGGACAGAAATATTTTAATAGTGAAGATATTAAGTTAGTTCAAAGCATAAAACAAGATATAACTCAACTTAAACCGTTAGCATTACCATTAGATAATCATTACAAAATAGTTGAAACGGATGCATCATCAATAGGATGGGTAGGAATTTTATATCAAAAGAAACATAAAGAAGAAACAAAATCAGAAGAAAAAATTTGTAGATATGCATCAGGAAAATTTAATGATATACAGGCTAGACTTCCAGCCACTGACTTAGAAATTTTAGGAGTCATTAATTCTCTTGAAGCATTTTCATTATTTTTACATAATGAAATATTTACTATTAGAACAGATTGTCAAAATATTGTTTCTCATTACAATAAAATTACTACTAATAAACAAGCAGCCCGAAGATGGGTGAATTTTGTTGATTCTATTACAGGAAATGGATTTAGGCCAATATTTGAGCATATTAAAGGTATGGATAATGCATTAGCAGATATCTTATCTCGTATTATTCATTAAACAGGTATGCAGTATTTTGGACCATCATCATCTGGCAGCAAAAATAATGGTATACCATCACCTGGTGGTAACCCATTAAGCATAAGTAATCAAGCACGATCAGTAGTAAATATTTATTTTTATAATGGAATATCAGTACAAGAAGTTAGAAATCCTTCTTTAAAGTATCGTACTCAAGCATCATTAGCAGAAAAACAAAAAGTTCTTTTAGATAACTTTTGGAATATTAGAACAAATACTGAAAGCATGAGAAAAGGGCATGAAAAGCTTATTAGAGCCCTTGAGCAAGAGTTTTTAGCATATAATTATGATTATAAAATAGCAAAACAACACCTTTCTTTTTTGCAGGAAAAATATACAGAGCAAAAAGGGAAATATGATACAATAGTTAGGCATTTTAGAACTATTAATTTAAGATGTCAAATTCTACAAGAAGAGGCTAATAAGCCCACCGTAATTGAGCATAATTTACAAGAAAAAGAGGCTAATAAGCCCAACTTACTTGAGCATAATAGTGAATTTTCTCTTGAGCAAAAATATAAAAATCCCTATTTTCTTCAAACTCTAGCTAGAGAAAGGTATAAGTTTTTACCAGTAGATGTTAAGAGTCACATAATTGAATTAGAATATGAGCAAAATACTTCTCTTCAACTGTACATTCAATCTTTTCTTTTCAATTTAAAAGTAATCCACATCCTGGCATCACCATTATTACCAAAAATTGTTCCCATTACACTATTTACTTAGCAAGGATTAACATGATTGAATATAGAGAATTGCATTTAGAGCATAAACAAAAACAATCATAGTTACTCCAGCATTTTTAGCAAAATTTGGTTATCTAGATCAACTTTATGTTGAAAGTAGTAAGCATTTAGATTCATTCCCCGAAAAATTTAGAGAAATTATAAGTTTTTATCTGCCTCTCTGGAAAAATGTAAAATTAGATTTCACTAGTATACCCCCAGAGTGGTTTAAAGATAGCATTACCCAGATTTAGCACAACATAGGATTATTATTTCTTTTGATGAATTACTTAGTCCGGGAGAATCAGCACAAACAGAAATGCCTACCAAACAAGACATCCAACAATACAGAGGAGCAATAATAGCCGAGCAACAGTTATTTAATGATGATCGTCTGACCCTCCTGTACCAGTCTAAATTTATCAAGGTGTATTCAGAATCCACATCCAGGAGACCAGATGATATATATGAATACAGGATCAGCACTACAGGAGCAAAAGTTTTTGATGAAATCTACAATCAGATAGCAGAACAGATTACAGCAGAAGATAATGACAACTCATACTGGAATAGCTTAGGAGAAGAAGAGCTACACAACATAGATAACATGATGGATGCATGAAGACCACGTGAAGAATCCATCCAGCGGAATAGTCGCCAAACTGTTTGGCTCCATACAGCCAGTACAAAGCAACATATGAAAAGAAGAAACATTTTGGTTTCATCCGGCTAGCAGAAGCAGAAGGATTCCCTAGAAAATCTAGATATGAATAAGGGCATTATTGTCCAACCACTTTAATTTTGTCCTTTATAAATACTGTACCCATTTTGGGTTTATTTATAAGTCTCCCTATTTGTTATTTCATCTTCATTGGGGTAAAATTGGCAGATAGATGAAACCATCGTGGTCGCAGAATCTTACCCTAGAAATCAGGTAACTACGTCATACTTGCTGCGACAAAGATTGCCAGAATTTTCTGCCTCACAATCTGATAAAAATCATATTCCTGCTTTTCTTATATTCTGCACGAAAGTCAGCTTTTTTGTGTTCTGTTCCATCATATACTTGATGTCTGGATTCTCTTCACTAGTTGTATTGGTCAGTACCATAATTTGTCTCTGTGATTGATCTAATATCTTTTATTAATTTCTTTTTTGAATTGCTGAAAAACCCTGCTTTCAGTTTAAACCCTCAACTTCTGAGTGCATGTCAGGGTTGTTTCTGCTTATGGGTTCAAATAAGTCGCTTTTAAGAGAGATTTTGGGTTCATTAGAACATATGGTGGTGTGGGTAATTCATAGATTTTGTTCCGAGTGCTGTGCTGCTGTGCATGTGTTCTTGAATTATATTTAATTTGATTGTAGTCAAGCCCTCATATATTTTTTAGTAAGAATTGTGTGGTTTGGTTCGATTATGCATGAAGTTCTTACAAATTGCATAAAGTTTGTAGCTTTATGGTAATTGACCAATAAACAGAAATTTGGTATTTTACAGCTACGCTCTTTCTTACTTTCTTTGGCTCCACATAGTTCTTATTTTAAGTAATCAAAGAAAACATGGATGATGGGGTGGTAGAGATTTCAGACCATGCTGTAGATACATTTGTTGATGAATTTCTGAAGAATACCCGGACTTGCAGTCAAACTCACACTTGTAACCCACCTGGCCCTGATGCTGCACATACACATACTTGCTACCACACCCATACCCAAGTTCTTCCGTCGGAAGATGATGATGGTGCTAAGAATAAAGAGCATTCCGTTCCCAGACCACAAAGAAGAAGGCCTTCCAGAAATAGAGAAGCAGTTCGAAAGTACAGGGAGAAAAAGAAGGCGCATACAGCTTACTTAGAAGAGGAAGTAAAGAAATGAGGCTGTTGAACCAGCGAGTTGTTAGAAAAATACAGGGGCAGGCAATTCTTGAAACATAGTTTTTAAGGCTGAGAAGCTTGTTTCTGGACCTTAGAGGAAAGATTGATCATGAGTTGGGTGCTTTCCCCTTCCAAAATCAGTGTAAGACTTCTTCTGTTCTAACGGAAGGTGATTGTAATCCGCAGTTTACTATTGGGGCAGTTGGACTTTGTTGTCAAACAGATTTACCATGCTTCTGTTCACCTGTTGGGTCATCAATGCAGGCTAGTATCGGCACAAGCACGAAAGCAATGGTGCCATTAGGAGGAAATTGTCAGCCTGCAGTAATTGATTGCCAAGCAAATACAAATGAGATGGCTGGTGCAGTACAAAACTCTACACATAGTAGAAACCTTGGTATCATTGGCAACAGAAGCTGAGTAAATATAGCATGTAAGTTTCTTCTATACCAGAGCAAATATCTTTATACTACTACCTATTGCTATAACATATTTTAAGAGTAATAGATTAATATAGTATTTAAAATATATGAGTGCCATTGTGATGTCCATATTTAAGATCCTTTACGGTGATACGAATTTAGGTCAATAAAGTAGCATACTTGTTGATAATGTTTGTAGTTTTGGTTTCTCTGAGTAACTTATATCATATCCATGTGTATATAAGACTTCCTCTCTTTCTTGATCTATGTTTAAAGAATTTTTGTTGATGAAAGTTCTTTTAGTCAATAACTTTCAGAACATGAAGTGACATGGAACTCAATCACTAATGAGGATAATGTCATCCTAGGATCACTTGCGATGTAGAAAGAAAACCATTTGCATCGAAAATGAGTCATGTATCTTTGGCAAACTAAGTTTTCTTTTGAAGTTCTTAATGCATGCAGTGTTCCTACTGAATTATTAAATTGGGACTAGTTGATTGATTGTTACAACAGAGAAAGCTGATGATGGCTACATTAATTTTTTGCAACTTTTCCCCAAGATGGAGAAAAAGATGAAGTTATGAGTGAACAAAACTTTTCACCTCTGCATGTTCGTCATTTCAGAATCTCGAGTCAAAATCTTTCAGTCTGTTTCAATGGAACTGTTTCTCATTTCAGCATACAAACTCCATTTCCTCATCCAAAATGAAAAGATGTCATCAAACTCGTCTGGTGCCCTTTCCATGATGTTGCTAGTTTCCGTAATTCTCTGAGCTCTTTAAAATTTGTAACTTGCTTTGAAATCTTAGAAGGTCTCAACAAGGAATGGTATTGCATCAGCTTTGCCATTAGCTTCAATGAAGTTATTGACGAAAGCAGAGCATGCTTGATGAAACTAGCTATCTTGTGAAAGAACAAAAGGAATAATAGAATAAAAGGAAAAGAGAAAATCATGCTTCGAAACTGTAAATGCAATAAGAACTATTTTTAATGTTACAAAAAAACAATAAAGAACTATTTTTCTTATCAAGGAGCTCAATAAAGAAACTGGGCCAGAAATCCTCGTCATGATGGCGGCGTGACTCTGTTTTCGTGGAAGAAAGCTATGCGAAATTACAAAAATAATCCTTGTAATATGGATATTTTTGTAATTTGATAAGTTTCTAATTTTGACAAATATAAAGATATAATTCATCCGAAACACATATAATGTACACATGTCAAATTATAATTCACTTAAATTTAGTTCTTACCTACTTCTGTCATTAGAAACACATATATACATGTCAAATTATAATTCGTATGAATTTAGTTCTTACCTCCGGTAGAAGGAGGCAAATATTTTCCTTTTAGCTCTTTAGTTTGTTTGTCCAAAGATTGCAATACAAGGATATGGCCTAAATTATCTTAATCAAATTGATGAAAAGAGAACGTGTTGCGGTACAAATTATGTGTTTTTGGATTTTTTTGGGTTGTCTCACTTAATTATAGGTAACATGTCACACCAACAATATTAGTCGTTTTCAATCGACAGTTTGGATATAACATTGAAACCCAAACCCAAATTTATCTCAAAATTCATATTTGCAACCCTAAGCCCAATGTTGGGTTGAAATGACGGGAGCTTCTACAATGAGGAGTTAAAGTGAGAAGGTTATTTGAGGAGACCGATCCGACCGTCAAAACATTTAAAATATTTAAGTCACATGATTTCTTTACATTTGTTGATGGTGAGATTTGACCTTCTCAAATAACCTCCTCACTTTAACTCCTCATTATAGTCTTTCCGTGAAATGACGTTAACGTTAACTAAATTTAAATTAGACTAGTCAAAAGTTTGTAACCCCAAATAAACTCTAACTCCTCATTGTAAAAGCTCTCATTGTTTACGGCAATTGCCTTTATTTTTAACTCAAGGTTAATAAGTTCACGTTCTCTAATTAACTATTGTTTTCCAATTAAAGGAGCAAAATTTATAAAATTAAAAGTTTTAATTTAAAACTACATGAACTAGAAGAAAAACTGAATTTTAGCAACTATTTTTATAATTCGGCCATAAAGCTATCACTCAAACTGAGCACAGAAGGATTGAATAATGCAAAATGATATGCTTACTACATTTTATAACACATTGTGTACTGCATCTCTAATAAAGGTGGGCTCCATTGTATTGGTGGGCTCAACCTCTATTAAAGAGGTGGTACACAATGTGGTAAGTCTAGTATAATTGTAAATGATATTATATTTCTCCAAGATGATGATATATATACAAGTACAAGTTCACTTTTCCTATAAGAAAAAGTAATTAGCTAATTACAAGGAATCCTGACTAAGTAACTATTCTAATTAGGTGACGTGAATACACCAGAAAATCAAGGATCACGGGATCCCTGAATTATGGCTCACGCCAACACTCCTTCTCCAATTGGTGCGTAGATGTCTCCTACGCTCAATTTGTCAAGTGAGTCATGCAAAACCTTTGCTGACACCGCATACATTAAGACATCTACCAACTATTCTTCGTACTTTACAAATGTTATATTGATTAGCTTTTCTACCAGCTTCTCTTTGATATAATGCATATCCACTTCAACAAGCTTAGTTCTGTCATGTTGAATTGGATTATTTGCTATCTCTCTCGCAACTTGGTTGTCACAATAAAGCTCCATGACTTTCTTTAGTGGAAACCCAATTTCAAACAAGTGTATTCTTAGCCAAAGAAGCTCACAAACTCCTTGTGCTATGCCCCTGTATTCTTCCTCATCGAAAGATCGAGCCATTACATTCTACTTCTTACTTCGCCATGTAACCAAATTACCCACAATGAAAGTAAAGTAACCTCATGTAGAACATCTATCTGTTATATTACCTGCCCAATCTGCATCTTTATAACCCTTGGCGTCCAAATGTCCTGGTTTTCTAAATATCAAGCATCGGCCTAGAGCTTTCTTTAAATAACTCAAAATCCTCATAACTACAGCTAAGTGATCCTCAGTAGGAGAAAGCATGAACTGGCTAACAACACTAATTGCATATGCGATATCTAATCTATTGTGCGAAAGATAAATTAGTCTTCCCATTTACCTATGATATCTCTCCTTGTTGGTTGGCACTTGATCAGGATAGATTGCTAGGTAATGATTGTGCACAATAAGGGTTTCTGCTAGTGCACATCTTAATATACCAGTTTTTATCAACAGCTCCAGAACATATTTACTTTGAGATAGATAAATACTAGTAGCATAGCAAGTTACTTCAATTCCCAAAAAATACTTCAAAGCCCCCAAGTCCTTCGTCTCAAACTCTGAAGCTAAGTACTTTTGTAATTTACCCATTTCAACAATATCATCACCAGTAAATACCATATCATCGACATAGATTATCTGCAAAGTAATCTTACCATCCCTGCATTTGATAAATAGGGTATGATCTGAGTTACCTTCATGATATCCATACTTCTTCATTGCTTCAGTGAACCACTCAAATCATGCTTGCGGAGACTGCTTCAATCCATAAAGGGCCTTTCGAAGCCTACACACCTTCCCACTGTTATTAGACAACCATAACGAGGTGTCATGTCCATGTACACTTCTTCTTCTAGATCTTCATGCAGAAAGGCATTATTTACATCAAATTTCTTGAGAGACCAATCTAAATTATACTCACATCGTATACATTTTTGCCACTGGTGCAAACACATCCTGATAACCACTCCATATGTGTGCGTATACCCTTTGGCTATAGGTCTTGTTTTATATCTATCTATTGTACCGTCAGCTTTGTGTTTAACTGTGTACACCCATTGACATCCAACAGGTTTCTTTCCTTTAGGTTGCGAAACTATCTCTCATGTTCCATTCTTCTGTAAAGCTTCCATCTCCACAATCATTGCTTCCACCAATTTTGTGTTTTGCAAAGCTTCTTCCAATCAATTAGGAATTTTAATTCCTTCCATCTAACTGAGAAATTCTTTAGCTTGAGAAGACAATCTATGTGTGCATACATAATTAGTAATGGTATATTTCACTTTGCCTTCTAGTGAGAATATGTTTAGTGGTATTCCCCTGTTTGCTCATGTAGATAATTTTTTCACAAGTTCAACAATATTTTGAGAAGCATTGGGATCCGAAGGACTTACCTCAGGGATGTTCAGTAGAACATGAGCAAGTATGATCAAAATAAGGGATCGCTGCTATCCAATTCAGAATCATTGTTGTCATGTTTGGCTCTGCTAGACTAGTCAGCAACCTACTTCCAGCAGTTGCTTGGCTCAGCTCAACTGAGCTGAGAGACTCTAGCTCCAGCACACTATTTTGTGCTTCTTTCCCCCGTATTTCTATCTCAAACCAGTTATGTGCCTCCTTTACTGTATTCTCCCCGTGAAGAACATGACTGGGCACGTCTAACATAAGAAGAAAAAACATCTTATTCTCCACAAACGTAACATCCATGGTAACATAAAAGTGGCTACTGAAAGGGATGGTAACATCGGTAACTCTTTTGTTGAAGTGTTGTTCACCCGTTTTATGATCACTCCTGTAGTGGAATGGCAAACTTCCCCACTGCCTTGAAAACCATTAACTGGTCAACAAGTCAACTTTCTTTGGTGTATGAGCGTGCCACTGCCAGCAATGAAGATTCTAGCAGACTTATTCTAGAATAGATAACTTGCGCCCCAAGTTATTGATTTCCATAAACAAGTGATTGTGAATTTGGGTGAGGAATATCTCCCAAGTAAGTTCTTGTCTTGCCTCAGACTGGTGAGGACTTTAACAATTTATCTCAGTATAAAGAGGTTGTTCTGGCCAGAATGGTTGATGGAATTTAAGCTGTCTTAGGCAGAACTGCCTTTTACAAAACTATAAACATAAATATCCAAGCTAGAAAGATGAAAGGACAGCTGGAACTCCATTTCTGCCTGGATATGAGGTTCTGATCGGGGCTGGACTGGACTGTTAACAACTTCAGCTGCTAAGCTTCAGCTGTAGATCGATACCAAAGGTTAATTTTGGCAGAGCTTTAATACACTTCAAGCTTTTGTGAGACTTCTGAGTGGGCAGAACTGCGGCTTCTTCAGTCTGTAAGGGCAGAAGTGGCTGTTCTCGAGGACTTCAGTGGGCTAGAGACTGCACTGTAAAATTTGTTAAGGTTTTCATGTTTGGGAAAAGCTCAAGCTCTACCTATCTTGATTTTTTGCTGAACCAAATTTGTAACGAGAGAAATCTCGTTTTGAATGACTTATTTTCTAATTCTGAACCTTGGGAATTCTGATCTAAAGCTGGTTTTCACTTGGAATTCAAGTGAGCTTCTGGTTGATTTTGAGTTGTTTGTTTGATGGATGACTTGAGTGTTGGATTGATTGTCCTTTGTCTTTTTCATTCCTTCTTGTATTTATAAGAAATGTTATCTGGAGTAGGGTAGTTCTTTTAATAATGGGCGGCAGATTTTTAAAAGATCTTTCCTCTAAACAATGGAAAGGAAAAAGGGATTTCATCAGTCTTTAGTAGATAGGTCCTCAATAGGCTATCACTTCCCTATTTTTCTTGAAAGAGAACTTAGTCTTTTCTTCTTATTTCAACTGCCCCTTTGTGAGAGCTAAAAAACCGTGATGGTTAGTTTGATTTCCCAGTTTGAACAACTCTCTGTTTTCTTTTTCAACTTTTGCTGAGAATCATAGCCTGTCTATCTTTCTTTAAAAATAGTGCCTTCCTTTGGAGCAGGTTTTTCTCTGAATATAAAAAAGGATTTTGATCTTTTAATGGCTTTTAGATCTGCAGGGAAAATTTTGCTAAATGACCTGCGTTCATTTAATTCCCCAGTCACTTCCTCTATGACAGTTGCATTTGTTGACTTTTCAAGGTCAGAGAAAAATCACGTGGGTCTGCTCCTGTTTTTTTTAGGCTTTCTCTTTTAATCATGGCAGGCCCAATTTCGAGTTTTGAACCATGGGCTGCTTCTTTTCTTTCCTTTCTCTGTGTCTTTCGAGACCCAAGTCTTTTTATGTTTCAGACATGTCCTGAGCTGGGCCTTCTTTGTTTTGGGTCTTTGATCTCTTCTGCAAAGCCCAGACTATTCGGACTCTATGGATCCGTTCTGGGTTTTGGGCTAGGCGTGCCAAATTACGCCCAAACATGTGCAAAACCCACAAAGACACAGCGGAGGGCACACGGATCTAACTTGGTCCAGTGAGATTTATTGAGATGGACATACACCACATAATATTTATAAAAAAATGCACATAGTGAGATTAAGATGGGAACAAATAGGAACATGAGCAACCAATGTCTGGAGTGGTGTTTTGAAACCCAAAACATGTGAAGACATATAATTAAGAAGATAGATAGCATATTGAATAACTACGGTCCAAAGGGTTTGGGGAACATGCCCACAATTAGGAAATCTTAGGCAGTCTCAAGAATATAGCGATTTTTGTGTTCAACCATACCATTCCATTCTGGAGTCTGCGAACACGTAGTTTCATGGAGAGTGCCTTTGCCAGTGCAGAAGTCTACGAGTGTGTGGTTAACAAATTCCCCTCCATTATCTGAATGAAGAACTTTAATCGAACGAGAATATTAAGTTTGAATCATCTTGTAAAAATTCTTGAATAAAGAACCAACTTCACTTTTATGCTTCATAACATAAAGCAAAGTTAACTGAGTACAATCATCAATGAAGATCACAAACTACCGAACACCAAAAACAGTAGTAATCGGATATGGCCCCAAACATCTGAATGGATTAAATATAACGAAGATGTGATTTTATTCAAACTAGGTGGATAAAAAGTTTGTTGACTTTTTTCAAGAATACAAGTCTCACACTGAAAATCAAAAAATTTTACTCCACTAAATAGAGATGGAATTAAAGACTGCAAATAACCAAAAGAAACATGACCCAACCGCCAATGCCATAACCAAATCTTCTTATGCTTCTCACTAACAACACCCCCGAACCTAATGAACATGACCTGGTGCAATGTCATCCATATAGTAAAGCCCACATCTCTTAGTACCACGCCCAATGATGTCTCTAGTAAGAACATCCTGAAGCAAACAAAAGGAAGAGAACATGAGCACGCAACAATGTAAGTGTTTGGTGATTTGTCCAACAAATAATAAATTATAAGACAAAGTATAAACAAGCAAAGTTTTATGTAAAGAAATGGTGGGAGTAAGAGTGATGGAACCAGCCCCAGTGATTGAGTTAGATTCGCCATTGGTGGTACCTACACTTGTTTTAGTATGAGCAGTCATAGAATGAAAAAAAGCTTTGTCATAGGTCATATGATCAATAGCGCCCGAATCGATAATCCAACTTGTATCTCGTTGGTCGGAAAGCATCAAACTTTTCCCTCGTTACCTTCGGAGTCAGCGAGCTCTGGATGGGATAACTAAGAGAGAACAGTAAGAGAATCAACAACTGAATGAGTTGCCGTGGGCGAGGTTGAGACACCCGAGGTAGCGTCGGCTGCAGCGATAGCAGCTATACCATTCCCGCCATTCTTTTTATTCGAATGGGCCTCCTTTCATTGCTTTTGGGGTTCAAGGAACCACTTCGGAAACCCATTCTTGTAAAAAAAAAACATGTAGCCTCTGTATGACGATTCCCACTAAAGAAAGTGCAATGCATGTTTTCTTTTTCCTCAGGGGTTGGATGGGAAAAATAAAAACTAGCAGCAGGGGCTTTGGAAACCATTACAGCAGAGGATTCAATCTTTCCATCATTCTTGAGCATCGCCTCCCTACGTTGGGCCTTTTAACGAATAAAAGCAAATAACTCCTTCAATTTTGGCAATGGTCTTAACCTCAACAAATATCCTCTAATTTTATCAAACTCATCATCTAGACCTATAAGAAAATCATAAATACAATCTTTCTGTATCTCAGCATGTTGAATCTTCACATCATCAGGGTACTTCATGTTGATTGGACAACGACGGTCTAGTTTCAACCAAACGCTCTTAAGCTCAGCAAAGTATGATGCAATATTGCGACCTCCTTGAGTAATACATGTTGCTTTACATTGTAATTCATAAATCTGTGACTCATCAGATGCGTCATAATACATCTGGGCTGCACTCCCCCAGAAATCTTTAACTATTGGTAGATCTAAGAACAATTATACTAAATCTGGTTCCATGGTTTTTACTAACAATCCTTTAACAATGGAGTCTTCAATACAACACGAATCAAAATCTGAAGCATCTTTCTCCACTTGAGCCATCTTCGCTGTCAGATAACCTCTTTTGCCTTGGCCTGACACATGAAGCAACATCATTGTTCCATTCAACCGTATGGTGAATGTGTAGTGAAAGTATCATTGCGAACTATAACAATTGGTTGCGTCATGTCAAGAGTTTTGTGGGTTTCTGAAGCACTAAATCTTGCAGCGATGGTGGGGCTATCTAAGGTATCTTCGAAAACCATGGACAGAGAACAAGTTTGGAAGGTAGGTTGTGCCGGCTAGGATTGGTTGGTGTTTTGTGCTTTTATGGTCTTTTGTCGCACTAGTTGTGACGATATATGTCGCTTTTTGTTTTTTTTTTTTTTTTTTTTTTTTTTTTTTTTTGGTTTTGGGGGGTTAAGCCATAGATAGGTTGCTGATGGCTAGGGTTTTTGTATTTTTGTTTGAGAGGCCGAGTTTAGCCAACTCTAATACCAACTCAAACACATAAGGATTGAATAATTGTGAATGATATTATATTTCTCCATAATGAGGATATTGATGGGTTTCCCTCCTTTGTGGAGGAGAGAAAAAGAATGGAAAATAAATAGTAAAATAAAAAATGGGAGAATTTGAAGAAAACGAATGAAATAGAAAAGGAGAAAGTATCTCATCGTGCATGGCCACCAATTAGTTACGAATATTGACTATAAAAGCAGTTGCCTTCTTTTAGTTCATTGCATCCCTCAGAAAACCAAAACTTAGAGAGTTTTGAGAGATAGTTCAACCTCACTTGTGTGTGAGAGAAAATCCTCTTAAGATTAAAACAAAGAGCGAGTTTAGCCACCGATGTTTGGTGAGATTATTGTATTCCCATTATTTTTGTAGTGGAAGATATTTAGTGTTATTTTTGTTTGCCCATTTTATTTACACAAGGCTAGGAAAAGTCAGATTCTGGGACTGCCAAATTTATTTATTGGCTTTTATTTTTCCCCATCTTTCTCAACAGCTATATATACCAATACAAATTGCACTAGGAAATCAGGGATCACGGAATCCCTGAATTATGGCTTACGCCAACACTAACAGGTTTGAGAAAATCAGCTTAGACTAAATAACCTATATAAGCTGCAGCTAGGGTTGCAAGAATAAGAGCTTGAATACCACTTGTTTGGGGAATTGATAAGCTAATTCATGTGGATGTCTATTTTCCAGGCTGTCCACCTTCACAAGCAATGCATTTATCAAATTCAAAATGGATCCGAAGGATGAACCGGATATAGACAGTTCCAATAAGATTTCATCCTTAAAAAAATCCGTTTTTTGATTTATTTGATTGCACAACCTTGGTTAATGAGTATGAACTTCTTGGAGGAAAAACGTCTAAGACTTTTGTAGTTGCATAGCCCTTTCTCTCCTATGCCAAAATCATCTACAATTTGCTGGACAAAGCATAAAATTAAATAGTTATGGTTGTATTAAATTTTTCCTTGTCCTATATATGTTGGGGATATAATGATGGAGAGAAAGGGACGTCTATGGTCAAGGCCAATGCTCCATTTTTCTCGTGTTTTCAATTTGATTGGTGAGGGAGAGATGCAAGGATCCTCAAAGCTAGACTTCACCAGATCTCATCCATCCCACTTATCATTAACAAACAAAATTACTTATTCACTAACGCAACCACTTCAGAATGTAAACAGTATTTGCCTCTTTCTGTTTTTGTATTTCTATGAAAGCTTATAAAGTGGGCCAACGTAAGCCCAACTCACAACACAAACAAATACTGAGAGAACAAAATATAAATAATAAACCTTGGCTTGGATCTCGCCAATGTGGAGATTGTTGGTGTAAGTGGCTGGATACAAGACATAAAGTGCAAGTCTCGTATCAAAAAATACGATGATTCGAACTATTCTTCTTTTATTTTATTTTTCCTAAATCAAGGATATCCTTACAAAAATAACTAATCAAATAAGAATCATCCACTTATGACCATTAAACAAAATAACACAGTACTTCTTCTGATAAAGTGATCAAATTGTTTTTGACTTTGTCCATGTTTTGCTGAGGCTATCCTTAAATTGGAATCTAAGAATGAAGACCGAAAACAAGAACATCAGCATACAAGTGGAGGAGCGCCTAGTTGCATCCACGAAGTGGCCACACCTCTCCCTCTCTCGGAAGACCCACTTGACTCATTCATGCAACTATTTGCCCCTTAATAATGTAGCCATAGCAACCATTTGCCTCGTAAAACCTAGACTAAGACATCTCATGGCCACACAAAAAAAAAAAAAAAAAACCCAAATTCTTAATCTTAATACTAAAAGAAAAAAAAATTGAAATTACATTTTGTAATTGGTTGAGAACTCAATCACACGCATGTCCCCACATCTAACCTTTATGGAAAAGTGCTTCAAAAGAAAAACTACACATGCCCTGCCTGACAAGAAAAACGCACTTGGGCAACTCAAACAACAATAAAAAGAGACAAAAAGAACAAATACGTGGTTAGATAGACTGGGTGATATTTAGTACATAAAGAAATTGGAAAAGGGAAAAATCCAGCCGCCTATAAGTCTCTTAGATTTATAGAGAAATGGGTGAAAATCTCTTAGATTTGAAGGACTTGTGTAAAAATAACCATATGTATATTAAATTTTCAGAAAATTGATCCAAAACATGAAAACAGATGTAAACTTGAAGAGAAAACCTAAAAATATTAAAAGTATCTTTAAAGATATTAATATATCTATATAATCTTTTTTTAAGTAAAATGGGAGGAGCTCGGGACCACACTGGTCCCTCAGTGGCACCGCCCCTAATAGTCCACCACGTAGTTTCAGCCTTGACTGAAAAAAGACAGAATTTTTCAATTTCCCAAAGAGTAAATCTTGTATTTTTTTTCCTTGAGTTGGAAGACGTTCAAAGTTAGTGGTTTTATTCCTGTAGTTTTTTTTTGTTTCTGTAGGAATTTTATAAAGGTAGTCAGAATGGAAATGACAATGACTGAAAACGCATACAATCATGATTTTATGAGCAACTTGCTTGAATCTCTCCTTCCTCATTGTAAATAAAAATAAAAATAATGATCTTGTTGTATTTCTCTCAACTTTACTAGAGGTATTGAGTTCGAAACTCACTTTCAGAAGAAGAAAAAAAAAGTAAATTATCAAAAGTACATATATTAATCATAATCAACAGAAAATATCTAATTTTCTCTTTCTTCTAGAAATTGAGTTAAATCAGCGTTTTAATTTGCGATACTTTTATTCAGGGGCCCACAAAATACAATTAAGATATTGACTGAGCCAATGAGTCGTAAATAAGCATTAGGAGCATCGTTCAATGATTAATCCAACGTGAAAATGACATATTGCGGCCATTTGCATAGAATCTGGACCATATCGCATTTTAGTGTGCCTAATTGGTCAAACAATAATAAATAATTCCTTGCAACATAAAATATATACTCAAGTGTATGATTCTTGAAATTATACCAATTATGTTGAATCCGATCTAAGAAAGTATCTTCAGAAAAAGGATGGACATTAACAATGTCATCCAACTTGTATCAATGCATTTTAGTATAACTGCAATTCCAGAAAAGATAATCCAAAGTTTTAAAGTTTGTATTACAGAGAATACAAACGGAGGCCTAATATTTGTATGTGTTGCAAGTTTTTTCTTCTTATATAGTTAGGAATTGAAATCATTCATTTCTTCTTATACCCATTGATAGTACTAAACATGCCATAAAAGAAGAGCGATAACTCAATTATGTTCCCAAAAGAGAAGTTCAGACATTGTTTGAGTTTGCTCAATCTCGTTACATGCTAAAGATTAAGGTAGAGTTCTTGGGAGTTACTAGGATGATTTCCAAGAGGTTTGAAGAGGTTCTAAAGGTCAATGATTTTCACAAAGTATTTAGGCTCGTCAATGTGGAGATTATTGATATTGGCTTACCTAAAAATATGGAAGGAGTGAAGGAAGATACGGTCAAAAGAGTTGTAGTCATTTTGACTGGGCTCTACCCCTCGAGAGGCAACTACAAGCTCTCGAGCAAACACAGGCGCTCGAGCGGCACGAGTGGCGCTCAAGAGGGAGCTACGAATCCAGTGCGTATCCCTAGCGAATATGGACAAATTTTCTCCTAGTTTTGGGGTGGTTTTAAGTTTCCTATTATTTGTATAATTGTAGTAAAGCCCTCTGACATATAAATAAGCACTTTAGCACTAGGTTATGATAACATAAGAAAGCTAAGGCATCAAATTAGGTTTGAACCAAGGGTGAGAAAAAAGAGTGCTAGGGTTTGTGAGAGAGCAAAGGGGGTTCTTCATTCTAAACAAATGGGTTCTTTCATACTAATGAATTTCTCGAGGATCACCAAGAGGACGTAGGCACAACGCTGAATCTCTATAAATTCTTATGTTCTTTGTGTGCTTGTTTACTTTTCGGTTTATGTGTACTTTTTCTTTATCTGGCTTGCATGTAATAGTCGCATAGTCCATAAACGACAAGGTCTTTGAATGTTTTCGAACAATGAGTATTTCTTTTTTGCAGACTTGGTTGTGGGGTTGGCTCTGATCCCTTTGATTTTCACAGCAAATCGTGTGACAGAGGGTGGAGGAAAGGTAGATCTAGGTGTTTATTCCCCGTTTGATTTTTTGTATTCTCTCGTGCTTTGGCAGACAATGATGTTCCTCTCCTCTTGGCAAATATGGTTGTCTTTATTATGGATCTGGATGGCTTTTGTTGTGCATTATTTGTAGAACAAAGTGTTGTTGCTCATTTAGTCTGTGTTGTTTGGTTTCTTAGATATGGTGTAGTTTGTTATTAAAGTCTAGAAACTCTATGAGTTGTCTCGTTTTCTCTTATAATTCCTAGAACTTTTGTTGAATTTGCTGGATGGTCTAGTTTCTCTAGGAGAGTTATGCCGGTTAGCGGTTAGGATTTGTCCTTGATATAATTGACTTGATCTAGGACAACGTAGACGGTAGATAGGGGTTTTAGACAAGTTCTTTGCAGTTTATTCTCTCCAGATCGTTTCAATTCTAGAGCTGACTCTAGTCACTAAGGAAGCTTTACCCATATCTATCGTATTACTAATCAAAATTGCTCTCTATGTACTTTTTCAATTAATCTAATAAAATACTATCGCTTGTTTGGTCAAAAGAAAAATAAACAGTTAAAATCATGATATTACATTATGAGTTTGCTCAAACAAATTATTAATGTCATGTAATTTACTATCTAATTAACTCATATATATATATATATATACACACACACATAAATTCTCATATGCGGACAATCAGACATTATTATCATGCGAACGCTATGTATTTTTTACAACGCTCCTTACTTTCCTGCCTGTTTACAATAGCATCCACACGATAATAACGTGCGGACATCCAAATAAGAGAATAACTATATGTGTGTGTGTGCGCGCGTGTGATTTTACACATGTGTATATTATTAAATAAGCTCTTTGTTTTTCTTTTTCTTTTTTGAGAAAATTAAAGAAGCTCTCTTTATTGTTCAGTATCTTTGATAATATATTTAAGGATTGAACATAATAATAATAATATGGTAATTGTAGAGTTCTCCTTCCCTTTTTTTTTTTTTTTTTTTTTTTTTTTATTTAATACAAACGATAGTCTAAACTACAAGGGAATATGTGTTTTCTTACATACGCACTATCAATATATCACGAATGTTTGAATCTCAAACCATTAATCTTCAAGTCAATCCCATTTTTCACTAAACCTCTTTGACGAATTATCAAAATTTTAGTGTCATATTTGTTCTCCAACCATTCCCTTTCCCTTTCCCATACTCTAACCTTCTCTCAGACCAAAAAAAAAAACTCTAACCTTCTCTCTTTTTTATCATCAAGTTGCAACATACATCACATCCTTGTAGCTAGTCCTAGTCGACATATATATAAATAATACATTTTAAACTTTTAAGTTGATGCAGACTTTGTATGCACCAACGACAAAGTATAGTCTAAAATTTGATGGAGAGGTCCACTCAACTCTCAAACTGTATACAGCCGCAGCGTCGCATCTCATATCATGCCCCGTCTTCCACATATATAAATTAGTCAGGCAGTTCCAAAGCTCTCCATTTCTCCTTTTTGTTTTTCTTATAATGCGCTAAAATATCAAATGTTCCATGTATTTTATTCCTTTGGCTAATTTAGTACTTCTGTTTTTAATTTAGGCAATTTGATTCATATGTTTGTTCTCGTTAGTCTTTGCAGTCAATTCCGTCAAATAATTTAATTTTTTTAAGATTTAAATGTCAAAATGATCACTATATATTTCTTTTTTATGAATTTTTTTTTTTTTTTTTTTTTTTTTTTTTTTTTTTTTTTTTTTTGATTGTTGACTGACCCCCCACAAAAAAAATTTTTATTTTGTCCATCCATCCAATTTATTTGTTTGGGTCGGTGTGGTTGGGTACAGGGGCGGATCCATATAGGGGCAAGAGTGAACCCTGCAAGTCCAGAATCTACCATTGAAGATGAAGATGTTGACCCTTACAAATTACCCATAAACTGCTTAATGAAATGCTTCAGATGGTGTAGCACACCAGCACAGTAAGCAGGCACGCTCGCTGCTTGCGCGTGGCACTTCCTTTGTTTTTGTTTTCCTGACGTCAAACGACAAAGTTGTAGAGATTACCTTATTTCCATTTTCAACATTTAAGTCAAATTCCTTTGTTTTTCTTTTTTATTTTTTTTTATATTTCTCGTTTTACTTAAGTTTACAATGTAAATAAGGAAGTACCCCCCATTTGGATTCAAATAAAAATACTTGAAAAATCAAATTCCCACCCAATCAAAATTTGAAAAATCGGTTTTAGTGCAAAATACGATTTAGGCTAAAAATGATGGCTCATTAAGTCAATATATACTTCATACTAAAATCTCATAAATCAAGTTTTCTTATTTGATGTGTAATAAATAAAAGCTGCCAAAAATTATCTTGAGAAAATGATTATACTGAAAAATCATTTTTCATACTTAGCCAATTATTTTACATAAAACCATTTTTCATGTATGATATGAATGCATGAAGGGACCTAAGGTCAATCTAGGTAAAAAGGCTTAAATGTTCAATCCACAAAGAATTTTACAAGAATAACCTAACTCTTACGTATTGAAGAAATATTTGCTTGAATAAGCTCCCCCTAAGACAGTACTCATGAGGATCCAAAGTTTGAGAGCTAGAGCCCAAAAGAAATGTAGATAAAAAGCCCAAAACCAAAACGATGACGGACATAAAAAATGACGTAAATGCCCTAAAATGAGCAGGATTGCACTAATACATGCCAGCTCTTACATCGAATAGGACAGGATGCCTTGGGAGGAGAAAATGATTGCACTAATTTTTTGGTTTATTATCACATTCTTAGAGAAATTTCTAGTTTATTGTAGTATGTCTATTTTTTGAGGTTGATGCAGTTCTCTTTGATAATGAACATGAGTATTTTGTATGCTTTTATCTATTAACTATGAATTAGAATATTAGCGTTTCATTTCGATGGGTCTATTTTATATAGAATTTTTTTAAAACCTTTTATACGTTGACCCCTGAAATGAAAATTCCTAGATCCGATATCACACCCTAGATCGGCTCCACCGTAGCATGATATTGTCCACTTTAGACCCCCCTTGCCTTCACTGTTTTGTGTCTGGGAACTCATGAGCAACTTCCTAGTATGTCACATATCTTGGGATTGCTCTAGCCCAAACTTGCTTAACTTTGGAGTTCTCATGACTCTGAATCCAGTGAGCTTCCAAAAGGCCTTGTACTAGATAGAAGTGGGCATGTACATATCAGGGACATTACCCCTTCTCCGTTGGTCGATGTGGGATGTTACAATCCACCTCCCTTAGGGGCCCGATGTCCTCGTCGGCACACTCGCACCACAAGGCAAAGTGACTCTAATACCATTATGTTACATCACGGATCGGCTCTGCCATAGCACGATATTGTCCTCTTTGAGCCCCCATTACCCTCACGGTTTTGTTTCTGAGAACTCACTAGCAACTTTCTAGTAGGTCACCCATCCTAAGATTGCTCTAGCCCAAACTCGCTTAACTTCGGAGTTCCCATGACTCTAAAGCCAGTGAGCTCCCAAAAGGCCTCATGCTAGATGGAGGTAGGCATGTACATATCAGGCACGTCACCCCCTCTTCGTTGGTCGATGTGGGATGTTACATCCGCCACTAGTTGGGTGACAAGTTGCTGAAAAAAGGAGTTGGGGAGTTTTCCGAAAGGTAAAACGATAAGAAAGAGAGACTGGGATCAGCGGAGCGGAGTTAGTGCCTCAGGTTGGGCTATTGGTTTTCATTCTTTAAGTTTTTTTATTTTACTTCTTAATCTCATTTTTAATTTTTTTTAACTTTAACCTTTTATTTTCAACTTAAATTTTCATATTTTTCAAGTAGTCACTTATGAACTTTTTAAACTTTAATTATATGAAATGAGTTACACTAGCTAACTGAGTGAAACAAAAGAACTATATTAACTAATTTGGTCAAATAAATCAAACACAGAGACCATTTCAACATTTAAGCATTTAAATATAAGCTCTTTCATCCACTAAGACTCAATTGAAAACAATTTGGAGTTTCAAATAAACTTTTCTGTTTGTCTCCCACGCACTTCTCTTAATAAAGAAATTATATGTGCTCATATTGTGCAAATAAATCATGCACAAGTGTGAACTATATATCAACTTGAATTTCAAAGTAGATCAGTATATTTAGTTCCTAATATCAGGTGTGCTAAGTGGGGTCGAAAGTGAACTTAATAGTTCTCTTATATCATATGTTTGATTATGTTTAATTTAAAGTTGTCTCATTGTTTGCAGGCCACCAATGTGCACCACTCAACTATTTTAATACAAGAAAATTAGAGGGTATCTATAGCCCAGGATTTCAGATAGCGAAGGGAAAGTTTTTAGCTTTTCTTAATGGAAGAGGAAAGTTAAATTCAATCAACACAGCCTTCTAGCTCCAACGAAAAAGATTATTTACTTCTTCGAGTTCATACCAAGAAAATATTAACCTTATAAAAATATGCGGGTTAAGTCAGTTGGTTAAATGGAAAAAAAAGTTAGTTGGTCAAAATAGTGAGTC